TTGAAACAGTGGGCAACGCCCACACCCAGTGAAGTGGGTGGAAGTGACAATCTCAGCGGGGAGATGGTCCCAGGGAGGGCGAACAGCCCCACAGACCTGGAATCGTGTAGCTGGGCCAAGCATGTTCTGGAAGGAGACCACACGCAGAGCCTCACAAGGGCCTGGGCGACACGCACACGCGACAGGCCCACCCTGAGGCTGCCTGCAGGAGTTTCCGTATACAAAAACAGACGAATGGGACGTCGTCAAAGTTAAATGGTGTCAAACTTCAGAAGACACCATCGAGAAACTAACAAGCCAAGGTCTGAGAGAAAATATCTGCAAATCACCTATCTGATAAGGGACTTGTATCCAGAATATATATAAAGATCTCTTACAAACTCAGTAAAGAGGAAAAAAAAAAAAAAAACATGCCACTTAAAAACAGGCAAAAGATATGAACAGAAGCCAGGCACGGTGACACACACCTGCGGTCCCAGTCGCTCAGGAAGCTGAGGCGGGAGGATCACTTGAGCCCCGGAGTGCAAGGCTGCAGGGAGCTATCATCCTGTCTGTGACTTGTCCCTGCACCCCAGCATGAGCAACACAGTGAGACCCTGTCTCTAGAAAAAGATATGCAAAGGGATTTCATCAAAGAAGATACACAGACGGCAAGGAAGCACACAAAAAAGTGCTCAGCACCATCAACCATGAGGGAAATGCAAATTAAAACCACAACGAGCCCTCTCTCTACAGGAGCTACAATGCCTACAATTTAAAGGACTTATCAGGTTTGGGTGAGGATGAAGAAAAACTAGGACCCTTCCACGTTGCAGGCAAGACTGCGTTAGCCACTTTAGAAAACGCTTTGGTTCTTTCTTTAAAAGTTAAACACAGACTTAACGTGCAACCCCGCAATCCACCCCTAGCCATCTACCCAACAGAAGCGAACACATGACCTCACAGAGATACGTGTGTCTACACACACACGTTCACAGCAACGTTCTTCATAAGAGCCCAAAACTGGAAATAACCCAAATGTCCATCAACTGGCACATGGGTGAGAAAATCCAGTTTTAAAAAAAAAAAAAAAGGAGGGAAGCACTGATACATGCAAAAACATCATTATGCCAGACTCAAAACACTGTACATTGTATGATTCCATGCAGAATCACACAGAAAAAGCAAATTCTTAGACAGCAGCTCAGTGGCTGCCCAAGGCTGGGGGGCTGGAGTGGGGATTAAATGCCAATAGGCACCAGGTAACCTTCTTGTAAACACAGAAATGTCCTCACACTGGATTTGGCGATGGTCATACAAGGTTACAGTATGTGAATTATATCTCAATAAAGCTGTTGTGGAAAAAAAAAAAAGAGAACACACAGTAGGATTTCTGACAGTCCAAGTGCGTCTGTCTTACCTGTACTAGCTGAAACCTCTGTTTCTTTTTCTTCCAAGTTTTTGAGATTTACTAAGGCTGATGAAAAATGTATTTAAATAAATTACTCAAGAATGGTCCCCAAACTTACCACTTTCTCAGGCCCCATCTGAAGTTTGGAATCACAGGCTCTTGAATAGGGACCCACCTGGGTCCCTAAAACTCAAGTGGGAGGCACAGCAGAAAGGAGGCTCTGAGCGTGGGAGCCCCAGACCCCCCAGTTCATGGTGCAAGTTGACAAAGAGCAGCTTGAGCTCTCATTCTCTCAAGACAACGACGTGACCCTTACGGTGTGTACTTTGATTTTCTCTCTCTGGGCGACAAGGCTCTTGCTTTTCCAGCCCATAACCTCCGTACACCGCAGAGAACCAGACTGGACTCGCTCCACTCGGTCTGCAAACTCACTCCACCTGCCATCGGGAAACGCTCCGCTCGTCTTTCACGGAACGAAGCGCCTAACGGCCCTTACCTGATGATTCCGGAAGGTTCTCCGTTTCTGTACAGGAAGACAACAGGACGAGCGTGGGACAGGCTTCTGATTTTTGGCTAAAGTGTCTAGACCTGCATTTTGCCTGCAGCTACTGCACCCAGATTCCCAAATGGAGCCCCTCGATGAGTGAATTTCAGACTCTGTAAGTTGCAGGAGGGGTGGAGGGATGCGGCTGTGGACCATGCTCAGGGCTGGTCCTGGGTGCAGGTCCCATGGTGGTCTCGTCCCCTGCTTTCCCACACACCGGGTTTATATTGTGTCATCACCCCAATCACCATCCACCTTGTATGGCACTTACCTCTGTATCTGTCTGTCCTGCCGCGGGGCAGAAAACGACCAGTTCTGACGTTTTTCTTGGTGCCAGAACAAAGCACAGTGCCGGGTGTGTAAGGCAGACAGTCCAGGTTTGCTGAAGCGGATCGATGGGCTGTCTGCCACTCAGAGAACACTTAGGCTACCACCACCTGAAGCAGACATGGCCAAAAGGGACAGCTACCTTTCTGCTCAGTCCTGCCCCCCCGTCACTTCCCACTGGCCGCAGGCGACGGGAGGGGAGCAGACAGGGAAGGAAGCAATGAGCATTACCGATCAGATACTCCACGCTGGACACAAGTCACGGCACTTTCACATGAGTTTGTGCCCAATCCTTGTGACAACCCTATTTGCTACAACAGTGAGGGCCACCTTAGAGCGATGCAGGATAAAAACTCTTGAGACCCCCGGGGTAGGGAGCAGGGGCTGTCCCAGGGACAGGTGCACGGTGCACGGCTGGGTCTTCCGACTCCGGACATTTGCTCAGAAGCTTGGGAGGCTGCAGCACGCGGACACGGACATGGGACAACCAGAACAGACGTCCCCCGCGGACCTTCCGGCTCTAGCCAGGGCCAGACATCTTTCAGAGAGCCACAAGAATAAGCGTGCCGTGACGAACTGTGCTGACATCTCGGAAGTTCAGTACTTACCCGTCTCCATCGCTGAAGATGTCACTGCAGGCACCGGGGAGGGAACACGCAGGAGGACGCGGTGCTTACGCACACCTGTCGTTATCTTGTGAATGCCGGCTGCGTGGATGCACGCGGGTCTCTTTCTCCAGTGAGAAAAATGGCACAGAGTCAAGATACGATTTGTTTCCGTTTTATTTTCCTATCTCAGTTTCAGCAAAAGCTTCAGAGGACTGATTGACACACATCATACACTATCACCCACATACAGTGTATATAAACTGTTTCTGCTTTTCCTTTTTCGAACAAGGTGGCTCTATCTTTGTTCCGACCAAAGTGCAAATGGAGAGATGCTACAAATGGAAAGAGGGGTGGTGTGCGTGGTCTTTTTACTCTCAGGTAGCAAATGCATGTGCACCACCACCAGGGGGAAAAGCCCCGAGGAACCATCTGCATCCCACAGGTTAAAAAAAAAAAAAAAAAAAAATCAAGCAATCGGGAGCACGGGACCACCTCCCGAAACCAGCAAATCCGCAACAGTCAGTCATCGTTGTGAAAGAGGTTCCTGGTTTTTCCATTTCGCCACCACCACGCTGCTGATTGGAATTTAAAGCCCTCTTCACAGTGCAAATATAAAAGTGATCAAAGTCAGGGTACTTTATGGCAATCTTTTGCTAAAATATATTCTATTTTAATATACATGCTATAAAAGTACACTAAAAAGATCTTTAGAGCTCTGTTAAAATTAAGAATTTACTTTTTTACATACAGAATAATGTACAGCCACTTTTAGAAAGTATATTTGAGAAAAAGCTATTTGTGACCCCAAATGTGTCTAGCCTCACATTTTGTTTATAGTGATTTTACAATACATGTATATCCAGTAATGCTCTCTTATAATTAATTCTGTGCCTCAATGCCTCACCAATTACTTTAAATAAAAACGTAGAGGGGGGGGATCCGTGAATCCTCCAAGGAGTTCTTACTTGTGCAGACTACTACATTTTCCACGTACGTTCCTATCGCAGTCTTTCAATTTTATCTTTTAAACTTTGGTATCCTAAATTCTTTCACGATCAACATCTGAAGCTGTCGAGGAGGCGAGGAAAAAAAAAACAAAACGAGAGATTGTTGAAGATCAGCTTTGTAGGTGGCCTTGGCTTTAAAAAGCGACCATGCCCTCCCTTACAATGACAGTTCCAGTGCCAGTCCTAGATTTTCACGGGACGGTGCTGCAATCCGCTGAGCACGCCCGGCGGCGACGAGCCAAGCGAACGCAGGCCGGACCAAGAGAAACGAGCCCCTCGGGGCCGGGCGTACCCGCGCCCGCTACAGCCCCAGGCTACTCTCGGTGAGGCTGCAGGCGACAGCCAGGGGAACACTCGCCACCTTCAGCCGGACGGAAATATAAAATAATTGAAATTTGTTGCTGATTTAAACAAAAAAAAAAAAAAGTTACTCTTTTCATTAGCAAGACATTCTTCAAAAATATACCTCTCTCCCCCCCTCTGAACAGCTGAACCAGAAGCACTGGGGCAATTAATTCCTCAACGTCTCGTGCCGACACCCCCCGCTGAGAACTTTCTCCTCGTCCGGTTACGGTGTCCCTGGCTGTGCCACGCAGGAGGGGAAAGGCCTGGCAGGTGTGTGCTTGTTGTGTTCTTGGTAGGAATCACTTCTGCTTGATTTCCATGCTTAGAAGAAGAAGAAAAAAAAAGAATCGTCGGCTGACGTCCTCGGATTTTGTGACATGATGCGAAGAAAGGAGCAACAGGACGGAGACGGGCTGCCACAGAGGAGGGCTGGCGCTGGGCCTGGCTCCATGGTCCTTCCTCCCTAGGGGGTCTCCGGGGCGGGCTGTGCAGGAGGCAGAGCTCGGGGAAGCTGGTTCTCGGGGAAGCAGGGGGAGGAGGCGACCCACGCCACCTGTCGCCGTCTCGGGCTGCCTCCCGAGCTCCCGCGCTCCGTGGACATCTGTGCAGGGCCCGTCCGCGGTGTCCTTCGTAGCTGAATTGTTTTCTCTGGATGCGCTTTTGCAGGGTTGCGTCTTGCCAGATCATTTAATCAGAAGTAGAAGAGTTGGACGCCTGCCTCTTTCTAACAGACCAACGAATGAATGGCAGAAATCTCAGCCTCCCTCTCCTCAAATTTCTTTTTTTGTCTTTCTTTTCCCCTATCTACCGTGAGGACAGTATATCTCCTGGATTCTGAACCTGCCTACGACAGAGTGTTTTCCCCTGGGCAAAGGATCACTGCTTTCACAGTGGACAATCTCTCTCTTTTTTTTTTTGTGATCCAACTAAGCCCTCTAGAAAATACTTCAGCCTATGTGAGGAGGAAGCGCAGGAGAGCCGACTTCCCGTGGTGCCTGACACAGAACACGCCGCTAAAATTAAGAGCAGCGCCAAGTGCAAACGCAAATATTTGTGCAAACGAGGGCACGCTGCCGGGTGCGACTTTTAAGACATCCTCAACTTAATTCGTTTTATGGTGCTTGACTCTTTTAAAAAAAAAAACACCAGTCTGTTAAATTCTGAGACCCAGCAAGGAAGAGGGAGGAGGAGGTTCACGTCGGAAAGCACGCTGCAGAGAGGGCACAGGGCGTGCTCCCGGCGACTGGCCGCTGATTTCAGACCTTAGACCGAGTCACAGTGCGTGTGAGATAGTCACAGTAATTTCAGAGAGAGACACTCGTGTCTGTAAAAACTTCAATCTATTACATTTTCAACCACTCTGCCGTACAATTACACAGTCGCTCTGTCGGTGCCGCTCTGGGGAGTCCCTCCTGGCCGGCGCGCCCCTCCAGGCCGCTCAGACCTTCAGGGCGGGCTGCAGGAGGCCCTTCTCGATGAGGTGCGTCTTCAGGGTCCTGTAGATGTTCAGCTGCTGCTCGGGCTGCAGCACCAGCAACTGCTGCAGCACTTTGCTGGGATTTGGGCCCCTGAGGGTAAAGGCAGAGAAGACAAAGTTCAAGCTACTCGAAACACCGCACGAGGGCCCAGTCTGGCCCTCCCGAGGTCACCTCAACGCATGTGGTCCACGTGCCACAAATCCGTGGCCACACGCCGCCCCCCACGCTCAAGTCGGGACACGGCTGGTCTCGCTGCATTTCTTCAAAAGACTCAGCAACAGGACGGGACAGAGCGGATCTCCCCGGCTTAAGACTATTCCTTTAAGTGCGGAGTACCCATCTTCACAGAACTGAAAGTGCTCTTCGGAAGAGCTCGCTTTAAAGTCCAATGTTTGTACCAAGGGGATAAAAACAAAACAAAATTCCAGAATGGTTCTGCTCTGAGCAGCACAGAGCACAGGCGTGGGAAGCAGGCACAAACGCAAAGCACGAGGGCAACGAGAGGCAACTCAGGACGTGCAGACTAAGCTCTACGAAAATTCTCAAAAGGACAACCTCGAGTTAAAGGTGGGGAATAGGCCGGGCGCGGTGGCTCACGCCTGTAATCCTAAGCACTCTGGGAGGCCGAGGTGGGAGGATTGCTTGGGCTCAGGAGTTCGAGGCCAGCCTGAGCAAGAGCGAGACCCCCGTCTCTACTATGAATAGAAAAAAATTAGCCAAACAACTAAAAATAGAAAAAAATTAGCCGGGCATGGTGGCGCATGCCTGTAGTCCCAGCTACTCGGGAGGCTGAGGCAGGAGGATCGCTTGAGCCCAGGAGTTGGAGGTTGCTGTGAGCTAGACTGACGCCATGGCACTCTAGCCAGGGCACCACAGCCAGACTCTGTCTCAAAAAAAAAAAAAATGGGGATAAATAAGTCCTGAGATTAGACGAGACACCAAAACCATTCTGTAAAGATAAACCAAAAAGAAGGCATGAAAATATAATGTAAATTTTTAGCTTCAAAGAAACTTCAGATGATGGAAAGTACTTTGCTGAAGAAACAGCCCCAGAAAATCGTTCAAGAGATAGAACACAAGAGACAAGCACACACTGAGCCTAGCAATGAAGTCCCTAATTGTGGTATCTACCAAATGCCATAGCCTTTGTTCAAAGAAAGTCTTAGGGCCTGGCGTGGTGGCTCACGCGTGTAATCCTAGCACTTTGGGAGGCTGAGGTGGGAGGATTGCTTGAGGTCAGGAGTTCAAGACCAGCCTGAGCAACATAGTGAGACCCCCGTGTCTCCTAATAATTGAAAAATTAGCCAGGCATGGTGGCACTCCTCTAGTCCCAGCTACCAGGGAGGCTGAGGCAGGAGGATGGCTGGAGCCTAAGAGATTGAGGCTGCTGTGAGCTACAATGGCACCCCTGGCACTCTAGCCTGAGCAACAGAACGAGATCTCGTCTCAAATACAAAAGAAAGTCTTGCATAAAAGCCCTAATATACGAAACAAAATCGAAGCAGATCTGCTTTAAAACCCAACAGGATAAAGCAAGATGTAAGAAGTATGTCGGGAACAGCACGGAGTTCTGAGGAAGACACTTCCATGGGTAAAGAGATTCATGATTTACAACAGGCTCTTCAAATGGAATCACAGGAAGCAGAAATCCCAGCAACAAAGAAGTATCTGCTATACAGTGCTGCTATCACAGTGAGCATGGGGAGAGGATCTATGTACTCTGCACATCTTTGACTGAAAACACTGCACCAGGGCCCAGATGAGCCACCCCATGGGTCACCTTAATGCATGTGGTCCATCTGCCAGAAAACCGTGGCCACACGTGGCCTCTCACGCACACTCAAGTCGGGACGCGGCTGGTCTCGTTGCATTTCTTCAAAAGACTCAGCAACTTCACAGCGCGAGCCCAGAGCAGGGGCCCCCGGGAGAAAAGGCAGCCGCCGCCGTTCAGCAAGCTCAGCGAAATGCGAAACTGTGTCAGCAGGTGCTCCCAGGTAGCTATAACCCTGGCACTGCCCACCCCTGCATTCCCAGCAGTCTAAATATTTGCTTTCAAATGGGAGACAACAGGGCTCAGCGTGACTTCCCTCTACTGAGAGAACAGCAAATTTGAAAAGAAGAAAGAGTGTGAGTTAATGCCCTAAAAAGCCATCATCTTCTAAAAATGAAGTTCTAAAGATTGAACCACTAATTTACTAATACCTAAATATATCAATAAACAAACAATATTCAAATAGGCTAGGTACTTTAATTCAAAAGAAAAAGATTGTCAATGGGGTTATTAAAAAAAAGAAAAAAAAAACCCCAGCCATATGCTTGTTAGAAAACAGAAGCACATTAATTGTAAGGATAAAGAAATACTGAAAATAAAATGACAAAGAAATACTACGCAAACATTAACCAAAAGAAAGCTGACGTAGCTGTTCTAATATCCAACAAAGTAGGCTTTGAGGCAAGCAGTGAACATGGACATTGTATAACGACAGAAGGGCCAATTCAACGCAGAGCTATGACAAGCCTAAATTTGTAAATACCTGATACAACCTCAAAATATACAAAGCAAAAATTGATGCATCTATTTTTATTTCTAGTTCTATTTACAATCACAGTGAGAAATTTTAACAAGGCACTTTGTGACTGATAGAACAAGCAGACCTCCCCCCAAAAAGAAAACCAACAAAAACAAAATTAGCCCAGAAGGTTTAATTAAATTTCACCTAACTGACACATGTAACACTACATCCAAAAACTACAGAATGCACATCTGTTCCATGCACACACGGAACACGCACCACAGCAGACAGTATGTGGGGCCATAAGGTGAGTCTCAAAAACTATTCAGTACTGAAATCATGGAGAGTGTGATTTCTGACTCACAATGGAAATAGCAATCAAGGAAGGGAAATGAGAAAAATCTCCATTTGTCTGGAAACTATTCAATACACTTCTAAATAACCCATGTGTTAAAGGAGACATAATCCTGGAAACAGGAAAATATTTGTAACTGAATAATGAAAATACAATTATCATTACTTGTAGGATGAGGATAAAGTGATATTTAAGAGGAAATTTATAGTCTTAAGCAGATACATTAGAAAAGAAGGGCTGAAAATCAACAACCTAAGCTTTATCTCAAGAAGCTAGAAAAGGAACAGCAAATCAAACCTACAAAAAAAAAAAAGATAAAGGAATGAAAGATGAGTGTGGAAATCAGTGAAGTAGAAGATATATGATAGAGAAAAATCAACAAAGCCATGAGTTGGTTCTTTGAAAAGATTAATGAAATTGAGGAACTCCTAGCAAGACTAAATAAAGAATAAAATTAATACAAAGAATAAAATAAAGAAAGAATAAAATTAATACAAGAATAAAATTAATACAAAAATTCTCACACTGCTATGGGCATATATTTAAAATGTGTTATTTAGGGATTTCTAACTATGTGTTTCCTCCAAATAACGCTATGAAAGGAATCCATATTGTCCATGGCTCGGATGCTATTAATAAGTGTTCTAGCTACAGGGTCCCCAGCAGAGGCCGTGGGGAAGTGAGTTCACACGCGGCTGATGCAGGCAGCCTCCACAACCCACCCTGGCACCCTGGGGCAGATCCGAAAGAGTACGGTTTGGCCGGGCAAGGTGGCTCACCCCTGTCATCCGGAGGATCGCTCAAGGTCAGGAGTTCGAGACCAGCTCTGAGCAAGAGTGAGACCCCCGTCTCTACTAAAAATAGAAAGAAACTAATGGGCCAACTAAAAATATATATAAAAAATGAGCTGGGCATGGTGGTGCATGCCTGTAGTCCCAGCTACTTGGGAGGAGGCTGAGGCAGGAGGATCACTTGAGCCCAGGAGATTGAGCTAGGCTGACGCCACAGCACTCACTCTAGCCTGGGCAACAAAGTGAGACTCTGTCTCAAAAAAAAAAAAAAAAAAAAAAAAAAAAAATTATAGTTTAATAACAAGAACGAACCACCCTATGTAAAATAGCAACACCCGTCCCCCCAGCCGCCAGCCAGCCCGCTGCACACACAGCCATGGCACCCAGACTGCTGTATTTTTCCCCGTGGCACTTACAGCCATCTAACAAACTATCTGTTCATTGTCTGTTTCCCACCTCCTCCCTCCAACCTCCCAACAAGAAGCTCTGAAGGCAGAGACTTAATTTGGTTTGTCCTCCGCCACATTCGGGCCTAGAACATTCTGCCATACGTGATAGGCATTTGAGCATTAATTGGTGGACTGGGAGGATTATGTTCTCCTCCTCCTCCTCAACTCTTAGTATCCACGATCGCTGCAACGCCCACGGCTGAGAAATAAAATCTCATGTTTCAAATCCAATACCATCTCCTGTTAAGGACCATGACATATAGCATGTTTCCCCGAAAATAAGACAGGGTCTTATATTTATTTTTTCTCAAGAAGACACCCTAAGGCTTATTTTCAGGGGATGTGTTAAGTATGCTACAACCATCTGCATTGATTCAAACAGAGCGAAGTCGTCTTCTTCTGGATCATCATCCTCACTCTCCAAGCCCCGAATCCCATCCTGAATGTCTTGCGACTCTGTTTCCTTTAGAGCCACCAGCCCCGATGTCTCCTGACGAGCACTAGAGCTCTCACGGGGCAGATGAGAAGGGCTGCTCGTGTTCTTTCCCGCTCCGCGACGACACGCATGGGTTGTGCAGATGCGCTGCGCAGCCACGCCCACCACTAGGGCTGATTTTCACAGCCACGCCCACCACTAGGGCTGATTTACATAGCCACGCCCACCACCAGGGCTTATTTTTGGGGTAGGTCTTATTTTCGGGGAAACACAGTACTACCCTTTTTTGTAAGTTGCTCAAATGTACGTAAAACAATTATAATTTAACTGTATTTTCAGGGCTACAACTCCAGGGGCCACCATTCCCTTTGATCTAATAGATTACCGTTGACAGAGAAAGTTAACTTACTCAAACTAACGTCAACAGGAATGAGAACTCAAAAGAAAACATCTACAAATTTGCTTTAAATGCAAAAGTACCTTATGAAACTTGTGATGTACACGTGCACAAAAGTTGCCATCAAATACTGACAGTCGAATCTGTCCATTATCCCACCGTGTCCAGGGATGGTGTTTGCAAAATCCTTTAGAAACAAACAAATATGTTAGCAAGTTTTCAGAAAAATCACCTGCTGCAAAATTCCTGTCTCCTTTGCAACATAGACTCTGGACGGAAAATACTTCTACTACTGGATTTTTTCCCACTGAATACAGACTTAACTAGGACATGTCCAAGAGATTAAAACCATATTTTCTAAATATTAAAACCATATTTTCCATATTTTCAGTGCCCACTCTGAAACTATTTCTAAAATTGACCTACACTGTGCAAACATTAATTACATCTACCACTGTTTTTGGTTAATAAAATATTTTTATCAATAAAAATTCTTTTAGTTTTATCACAACCTACCCTTCTGTTTAACCAGAAGCTACTTTAGCAGCCCCTTTAGTGTAGCTGACAGTGTACAACTGGATCTAACATGTTTATCCTAATGCTCCTTTCTCTGCATAATATGATAAATATATTTTTTTTTAAGTGTTAGAGTAAAAAGAAAAGCAACACAGCCAGCTCATTTGGGGCGTGTCAGTTCATCCAGTGGCCAAACCCAGGGCCTGTCGTGAGCCGCTGCAAATCCCCTCTGGGTGGACAGATTCACACGTCTGAGCGCCCAGGGAACGGGCGGGACTAACTGCCCTTCTAGCTCACTCAGGCAACCTAAAAATACCTGACGCGCAACAGCAATCGCTTCTTCATTCCAGACACGCAAAAACATACCCCACCACTCAACAAGAAACCTTGGATTGGAGACCATTAAAAAAATACTATCGTAGGCCGGGCGCGGTGGCTCACGCCGGTCATCCTAGCACTCTGGGAGGCCGAGGCGGGAGGATCGTTTGAGCTCAGGAGTTCGAGATCAGCCTGAGCAAGAGCAAGACCCCGTCTCCACCAAAAATAGAAAGAAATTAGCTGGACAACTAAAAATATATATAGAAAAAATGAGCCGGGCACGGTGGCGCATGCCTGTAGTCCCAGCTACTCGGGAGGAGGCTGAGGCAGGAGGATCGCTTGAGCTCAGGAGTTGGAGGTTGCTGTGAGCCCATCCAGAGGCGTACTGCCCGTGGGTGGGGGTTTCACGCTACAACGGCAGGGGCCGCAGCCGAGAGGCTGGGCTAGGGTCTGTGTGGTCTGGAAGCCCGATAAGCCGATTATCTGCCCTGTACGGAAAGCGTCTGGTGACTCCTGACCTAACAGGATGACCAGTCGCAAAGCCAAAGGCTCGGCTGCGTGTCCCCCCCTTCGAGTGACACCGCGGCCACAGCACGCACGTCAGACAATTCGATTCGTGGCTGGGTTCTTGGAACGAGCTGGGTTCTTGGAACAAGCGCTTGGAAAGGCAGAGAGACACTGCGTCTGGCCCGACCCTCAGGGGCATATCCCATTTCTACAAAGGACACGGACGCGGCACGCCCGAAACCTAACAAGGAGGGACACGCCCAGCTCCGCCAGGCAGCACTTGGCTCGAGGCTGAAAAGGTTTTTGCCTAAGGGCTTCTTAATAAGGTAGACCAAGAGGGAACCCGATTCCGGACAGGCTACACCCTCTGATTCCGCTCTGTCGCAACGCAGCAGGGAGGACCCGAAACACGCACCTTGATTTTGAAAGCCCTTTTGAATCCGCTGGCAAAGAAGCCTCCGAACGGGCCGATTAGGGAGGCGAATGTCGAGAGGGCGACGCTGTGTATCTGGAAAGGGTACAGGCTCACCGTCTCCTGGGGAGGAAAGGGGAGGGCAGAGGTGGGGCCGACATCAGCGCAAATCACGCCTGAGCGCGCCGGCTAACCTCCGAACCGCGACGTGACAGCAAGTCACAGTACACGCCACGTTTCTGTTCATTTCACGGACTCTAAGAGTCGCGGGAGAAGAACACATGGCAATCTGTGCGTGCCATCCTCCGCCCGGCCAGCACTCCCCACTCCCCCCTGCCCCTAAGTGTGCTCACGGCCCCGGCCCCCCGAAACCTGGCAGCCGGTGGGCTACCCTCTGGTTTCTCTAGGAACTTCTACAGTTCAGTTGCAGGCCTACTAAGAATCGGTCAATTTCCAAATTTTGTTGTGTGGTTTTTTGTTGTTTTTTTTTAACCAGGAGTAGTACTTCTGTTTGTAATTATATAACTTATCTTAATAGTGTACGATATTTCACTATTAATTTTATACGATCAAATAAGGGAAAACTGGCCTTTTCTCTCAAAACCCTGTTGAATGCTACGGGAAACACGCAAAGACAAGTCGCATAAAGACGACGGCCAAAATGGGAATCGGCGAGACAGTTACGACAGGTTTGGGGAGAAGGACATAAAAATTGAGAGGAATTCTGTAGTCAAATTATTTTGTAAAGTCTTAGTTCTTGCCCCTTTTTATAATAACCTGAAAGTGACAATTACAGGCAGTGCGTCACAGGTGTGGTTCAGAAAGAGATGTTTGAGAACACCGATATCTGGACCTGTTCTCAAAGCAAGAGACTTGCTCCTGATCGAAGATTGGCAACATCAAGAGTTTTATAGCAGGTAACAGAGGGCTTCGGCCAGGGGTCCTCAAACCGAGACCTGCTGAAGACATTTATCCGGCCCGCCGGGTGTGTTTGCCGCCGCTGCCTGTCCTGCTTAGCAGCCGACTCGTCCCGGGCCCGCAGTGCGCGCTCTCCAACGGTCTGAGGGACAGTGAGCTGGCCCCCTGTTTAAAAAGTTTGAGGACCCCTGCCTTAGACACTGGAAAAATTCTTGGAATCCATTTGTTGAGCCCTCAAGGACAGAAATACTTTGTTGATGTATCTGCTTATCAAAAATTATGTATTTTAGTTAAAAATAAAATGTTTAATCAGATACAAATACGTGCATGTGTTGTGTGTGCGCGCACACAAACACACACGCTATTTCATTCCTCACTTTAACCAATCACCCATCAGTCCTGATTACATAGATCAAGAGGGTTCTAGATGGTTCTACCGGGAAAGCAAGTCAACACCCCTCAGTGAGAGACCGCAAAGATACCTTTAAATGGCAGCAATGTCCTTTTGGAAGGAAAAACTGATTTTTAGAAGCAGCACCTTTCTGCATTTACCAATAAATGTCCTCTAAAAATCAAGGGCTCTTTGAGCTGGTGAATTTTAATTGAGTTTTACATCGAGTTAGCACATACACCAGTAACATGTGAAACTCATTCTAATCCATCTGATTTGTAAAAACCTATGAAATGTTGAAGAAGAAGAAAAGAAAAAAGTCTTCAAAACAAACAGAAAGTAAGTTACCATCAGCATTTAAACCATGAGGCAGGCGCATTCCCAGCACACAACTGACCTGCAAGAGTAACACTCGTGTTGCGTTCAAGGAGGGGAAGTCACAAGGGGACAGAACGTAACACTGACGGTAAACTCAAACCACTGCTACGTTCAAGAGTCAAAAAGTTAGGCCGGGCGCGGTGGCTCACACTTGTAATCCTAGCACTCTGGGAGGCCGAGGCGGGCGGATTGCTCAAGGTCAGGAGTTCAAAACCAGCCTGAGCAAGGACCCGTCCTCTACAAAAAAAAAAAATTGCCAGGCGCGGTGGCTCCACCTGTAATCCAGCACTCTGGGCCCGAGGCAGCGGATCGCTCGAGTGGGAGTTCGAAACCAGCCTGAGCGAGACCCCCGTTTCTACTAAAAATAGAAGAAATTAATTGACCACTAAAAGTATATATACAAAACATTAGCCGGGCATGGTGGAACATGCCTATAGCCAGCTACTCGGAAGGCTGAGGCAGGAGATCGCTTGAGCCCAGGAGTTGGAGGTTGCTGTGAGCGATGCTGACGCCACGGCACCTCACTCTAGCCTGGGCAACAAAGCGAGACTCTGTCTCAAAAAAAAAGAGTCAAAAAGTTTACAGAAGTCAGTTGAATCTGAACCCCACTTTTACAGGAGGCGTAGCGACGGTGGGAGGGGAAGATGCCCGGCCACGTCCACTCTTACCCATCTCAGCACCGCCTGCAGGAAGGGTGGAAGCGCGTAGCTCTGGAGGCGGAAGAGTTCCGAGGGCTCACACTCGGTGACGAAGGAGTTGACATCGCTCCGGTACTCCACGGGGCAGACGAAGTACTGGTACTTGGATAGCACGTAGGCAGCCTGGGCGGCAAAGCAAGCGCGCGTGTTTTCAGTTACGCGTCAGCGAGGCCAGAGACAGAAAATGCCAGAAGCTCTTTTGTGTTAACCACCTGCTACACGCAGTTTCTGAGTTAGATGGTCATTAACTGCCCCAGCAAAAGACTTCGAAGACTTTTAGGAAAATGAAAGAGTTCTTGAAATCAATGAGATTTCAACCTCTGTGTGACCACAATTCTGCAGATTACATAGGGAGAGTTAAAGATGCGAGTTTACTGCAAACCAGCTTATATTAATTTCATTCAGTCAATTAATCGGTGGTTCAAAGTGACTGAGAAAAACAGTATTCATACAAAAGAGTACAGGTGAAAAACACTTAGCCGATCCACAAAACTCTGACCGTGCTGCTTTCCTTGGCCACATTACTACAGTTTTTAAAACTAGCTGTTCTCAAGCCATGTAAGTAAACAATACGTAAAATGAAATATCCTGTTGTAAATTTAAATTGCTAGGCAACAGTTTTATTCTCTCTTCTTTTCTCTTGGAAAATTCAAAGATGATTCTAGGAATAGTTATAAACTGATTTTACTTTTAAACAATCAGTTTCTTCATAACCATTTATTTGAAAATATGTATTATTCTGAAGACATTTTTGACATTAAAAAAAAATGAAAATATGTATTATTTTCCTCCTCATTCATTTTGTCATGTACTACATTCTTACGGGGTAGCTCTTTATTTTCTTCCAGTAACATGGTTGTTCCTGTAGTATTTCCAAATTAATCTTTAACAATAGCGAAACTCTTAAAGCGTGACTTAATTTAATAATGTTTTAATCATTCTTATTTTGCAATGTAAACATATTAGATGGGGCTGGGTCCTTTTTCATTCTATTTATCAACTGTCATCTCATCAATAGTCTACCGCAAGAACTCTGCAGTAATTTTATCAAATTTTACTGGAATTTCCACTGAGAATGAACTAAACTTGTAAATTAAATGGAAGAACTATGGTGGCTTTCCCAGCTAAGCATCATGGCACGGGTCCGTCTATTTGCACGTCTGCTCTTTCTCACACTTCCTGGTGTCGCCAGTTACTCTACGCTCGGGCACGGAATGTAACTGCAACTGTCAGAGACTCGACTGCTAACAAACTAAACCTTCCCACGGTAATTTCTTTTGTATATTTACCTTACATTCAGCCATTTTACTGTTTCTAACTGGGCAACTTTGAATAAAAAACTAAATTCCGTAACTGTAAACTAATCCTTAAAACGTGAACAATATCCATTATTCGCGGCTGAGAGCGAACATTAATTATTTAAGATTAATGGACTCTCCCTGCAAGCTGTGAGCACGGCGGGAACCACGCACGGAGCCACGTGGCCACCGTGTGTTAAGAGGGCCGAAGCCGCCAGCGGCACTTGCATTCTCTGCTGTCACTCAAAGCCACCACCCTCAAGCCGGGTCTCAAGCCCAGCTGCACGTTAGAATTACCTGGGGAGCCAACTGGCCTGGGACAGGGCTGAGACACACATCTTATGTAAGCTCCCCTGGGCGATTCTACACGCAGCCCAGGCTAAGAGCAACTAAGCTACAGAATAGGCTCCGTTCAGTAGGTCTCAATAAACATAACAACATTCTTAGCATGCCGTGGTCTAATGTTTAGGCTTACGTGATAGACTAATAAAACTTGGCATCGTTCTCCAAAATAGACAGGAAATAAAAATCCTAGCAAAACTCACGGTGAATCCAAACACGACTGTGGAAAAGAAACCGCCAATGAATCCTTCCCAAGTCTTTTTAGGAGACAACTAAAAAAAAAAAAAAAAAAGGCCAAACAAAATTAGAAAGCATTCCTGCACTCACGAAACATACGATGTACATGCAAACTCTGTCCTAGCAGTTCCTGCAACACCTTGTCCGTCACTCTACTTGTATACTTTCCTGCTGTGATAGTTTAAAACCCTTTCCTTTCATTCTGTGATCCCGATTTACTGGCAAATCTCTGTAGTAGCATTTAAACACACAGTAGGCACCCAAACATTTGACATGCGGTGAGTGCGTGTTTGTTCCTCTTAAATAGCCACAATTTGTTTGTTTTTTCTTTCAAAGAACTAGAAAGTCTATACCAGGGGTCCTCAAACATTTTAAACAGGGGGCCAGCTCACTGTCCCTCAGACCGTTGGGGAGTGCGCACTGCGGGCCCGGGACGCGTCGGCTGCTAAGCAGGACAGGCAGCGGCGGCAAACACACCCGGCGGGCCTGATACATGTCCTTGGCGGGCCACATGTGGCCCTCGGGCTTAGTTTGAGGATGCCTGGTCTATACTGAAATAATCGATCGCCCGTCACTTCTATGCTTCTGTAACATCCCATAATAGAAAGCGTGAGTTCCTGGAACAGGACTGAGATATATACATTCCAAGTACACATGGCCAGTGATGACCTGCTATTGACCAAAAACAACAAATACAACAAAACGTGGACACGGCAGCACGCATTCTCAACACACACATCCTTAACACATGCTTCACACATTCTTAACGTGCTCTGCACGGACTTCTACCCTGCAACGGTAAAATACGCCACAGCCCCCAAATACTGTATTTGCAAGCAGTCACAAATCCTTCTCTCTTTTTTCATCATCCAAGTCTGTCTCCAGGAAGAAAGGAACATGCTGTGCTTCTAAGAATAGACACTGCTTGTTTCGGAGCTGGGCTGCTGTTTCCCAGTCGGTGAGGCATTCCGGGAGAGGACTCTGGAAGGAAGTCTGGAGCCCGGGCGGTGGCGCTGCAGGCAGGAGGGAAAGCCTCTCGGGAGAGGAAGGTGCTAACTGCACGCGGGTCCACGTAGGACATGGGTGTTCGTGCACATGGGGCTCTGGTCATCAGACCAGTGACCGGGGACAGCAGCCAAAATGGGCTACAGGCTGAGCCGCCAGCGCTCTCTACACACCTGTCGCCCTGATGCTCACAGAGCCCAAAGACAAATGGCTGGCAGAAATGGTTTCTTGAGAAATCTGATGACAATGACAATTCTGCCATAGAAAAGGGACAGGCATAACCTTCTGCTCAGATAATCTGGTGTCACTGCCATGAAGTAAGAGCGGGACTCAAATTCAAAAGTGCCTGTTGGTTATGTTAAAGACAGCTTGTCACATTAAACGGATGCATAGCATACTGAGTGAGAGGTTAACTGTTCAATTATCTCAGGGAACAGTATGCAACTGATCCAGCCCGGTGAAGTCACGGGAAAGCTTTATTCAAAGTCAGTCGCTAAGATTCTCCTACAGCTATTAACAGCCTTCCTAAGCCAGAAACTTCTCGGCCTGTGCAGAACTCTGGAATACTTCATCGCTTGCTCCGGAGCAGCTTTGTAAATGTTTTCAAAAATGCATAGCTTGGGCCGGGCCCAGTGGCTCACGCCTGTCATCCTAGCACTCTGGGAGGCCGAGGCAGGAGGATCACCCAAGGTCAGGAGTTCGAGGCCAGCCTGAGCAAGAGCGAGACCCCCGTCTCTACTAAAAAACAGAACGAAATCAATTGGCCAACTAAAAAAATATATTAAAAAAATGAGCCGGGCGTGGTGGTGCATGCCTGTGGTCCCAGCTACTCGGGAGGCTGAGGCAGGAGGATCGCCTGAGCCCAGGAGTTGGAGGTTGCTGTGAGCGAGGCTGACGCCATGGCACTCTAGCCTGGGCAACAGAGTGAGACTCTGTCTCAAAGAAAAAAAATACACAGCTTGCTTGCAACCACCCCTGCAGCTCAGCCGGGGCTCTCTGTAGCTGCCCCCCCAAGGGGGAAAAGTTTAAGGGAGACTTTTTGAAGGAAAGGCAGTCTACGGATTCTTCTGGAAATGCACAACTTCTCTCTCACCACTCCGGACAGGCAGAAGGTTTTATGTCCGAACAGCTACCTCAGTCCCTCTAAAACTGCCTTCAAATAACAACATCAAAACAGCCAAGTAACGTATTCCTGAGAATGTTGTAAAAGACCTTTGCCCTGGGTGCGAACTGAGTGAGTGAATCCCATCTGAAGCCCCAACGCGAAAAGCTTTTTTAAGAAATCGGCTCTAGAAAATGGTTTGATTTTCATGAAGAACTGGTTTCTTTCTTTCCCCAAAACAAGAACTGCCTAACTTAGTTCATTTCCTTCTTTGCCTCCACTGCCCGTAAACAGAACCAAGTTTAAGGCAAAACAACACTATCTGCGCCTGGCGTTTTCCTTTCCTGTGTCTTAACCTGTCATTGTCACCTGCATTTCCTCAGCCTGTAACTGGAGGGCCCCCCCAAATCTTTTTTTTTTTTTAAATGAATTTGGATATAAAGGTATCACCAATAGACATGAATATGTGAGGATGGGATGATTTACTCTTTCAGCAAGTTTGGTAGGGGTGGGGGAGAGGAGGGGACGGCTTGGTCGGGGAGGAGGGAGACGGCTTGGGTCGGAGAGTGAGGGGGAGGGCTTGGTAGGGAGAGGAGGAGAGGAGCTGGTAGGGAGAGGAGGGAGGGTCGGTGAGAGGGGGGAGGGCTGGTAGAAGGAAGCGGCTGGGGGTGCGGAGAGGGGAGCTCGTGGGTAGGAACGGAGGAGGCTCGGTCGGGAGAAGGAGGACGCTTGTGTCGGAGAGAGGAGGCTGTGGGGAGGAGGAGGAGGCTGTGGAAAGGAGGCTCGGGTGGAGAGAGAGGGCTGGTGGAGAGAGAGGCTCGGGAGGGGGGGGGGGGGGGGTGGGGAGAGGAGGACGGATTTTCCC